TGTATTAACAATTTCTGTAACTCTACTGTTAGCACCTGTTTGGCTTGCAGGCAGCGATGCAATAAAAAGTTTGGATGTCTAGTTGCCCGATTTTCACCTTCCGAGAATTTATTGCTATATATTTAGGAGCGTGCACAAAACAGATTCCCCCCCCCCAATCAGGCATTTTGCTTGTTCTGGGCCTTGCTCAGATCGAAATCCAGGAGGGTCTTACGAGGCACGAGCGCAAGGCCAGTGCCCTCACCCCTTTGCCTTCCCCCCTTCCTCGCCAGCCACCCCACTCTTTTCCCAGTGCCGGGCTCCCCTCTGTCCCTTAGCCGCTGCTGTGGGCTTTGAACGTGGCGCATCCCGCCAGGCACTTGCGGTACCCCAGAAAGCAGCTGGCATTTGCGTTCCTGCGTGTCTCGACCTGCCAGGCTTCACTGTGCTTGAATAGACGGTTGCCAAGGAATTGTGCTCGGTGTTTGTTTACTGCTCAGGAGTAAGTTAATGGGAACAAAAAGCTAATTGCTTCTGAACCAGCAACCCTGTTAAAAATGTCTGTCCTGACCAGACTTGGTCCAAGATCTAACCAAATGGGTTGAGCGATCAAAGGGAAAGAGAAGCTTTTCCGTCTGCCTCCGGGGAGGCCACGAGGTGGAAAACAGCTGCCAGCCTTGCCCTTTGTCTGCTCGATGGCTCAGTCGCTCTGCTTTCCTCAGATCCCAGATCCTGATCTAAGTGTGGAATGGTCCTTCTCCCGCAGAGGTGCCCCAGTTGCTGCAGGATAGAAAACGCATGGCTTCCCTTCACCAGGGTCAAGGCCCTGTGCCCACTTCCCGCTGTTCAGAAAACAAGCAGTTTTGTGCTTGTGGGAAGCGGCACGGAGCAGAATTCTCCTTTCTGCACAGAACGTCAAAGAAAAGGGCCCTCTGAGCCTGCTGAAGGTTGTGTATAGCAGGTGGAGTCCTTGTGGAAATTAGAGCTCGTGTGGTTTTTCTTTCGCCTTTGTGTCCTTGGACTCCAAGGCTGAAAAAACGGTTTCCGAGCGTTTTGGTTTGCCTGGCCTCGCCCTAATGATTGAAGTGCCTGGAAAGAATAGTGTCATTTTTTAAGCATTCGAGTGGATACTTTTGTGCTTCTGAACTGTGCCAACAATTTCAGAATCTTGGTTTTGCAGTGTAAAAGACGAATAACAATCAGATTATTCTGAGTTCCGAAATCTGGGAAGCCTCGGATGGGACAGGTAATTGGGTTTGCTTTCGCAGTGGCCGGTGAACTACCAGTGTCAAAAGCGAGGCGTAGAGAAACGGGATCTCAGCCTTCAAACAATCAACGTTCCAGAAACGTTGCCAGTCCTCATCTTGTAGACGTGTGTGATATTAAAGGGCACAAAATCCCACATTGTTGATACAAGAAAAGGACTGCACTAATCTGCTGCTGGGCTGCTTTAAAAGTTTTGCCCTACCTTCCAGCCTCTTCTTTTTTAAAGTTGTCTTGTCTGCCAAATACCGTATTTCGATGAATCACAGCTCTGACTAACCCGGGTGGGACGTTGCAGCGGCACCAACTTTTGTTTACTGTGTTGGAGGCAAAACTATTTTAGGCCCAACACAACAAATAGGTTTTTGTTGTTCGGGGGCTTCAGTTTAGAGGCCTTCACAAGACGAAACTGAGTTGGCACAGATGGTCAGCGGCCTGAATTATTTGTTGGCCCTTCCAACCCAGAGGGCTGGGCAGCCAGCAGCATCTGTTTTGCTCGCTTGCCTTGGGCGGCCTCGGAGGCTGCGCTCAGCTGATTCGGCGGGGAAGGAGCGGGGCAGGGAGAGCAGCGTAGGTGTCAGCGGGAAGAGGTGCTGCCAGGCCCCGGCTTTGGGGCTGTGGGGAGGTCTTCCAGGCTGGTGCTGCATGTGAGGATTGGCCGTGGTGGGTTGGGGCGTGAGGGAGTTCCCTGCCCGCGTCTGGCCCTCCAGGCAGAGGGAGGGCCCTGCCAGGTTCCTGACTCACCCGTGCCTTAACTTTGAAGCGGGAGCTCGGGGGCGGGTGGAGGGCTGCCACCGCCTCTCTGGAAGCCGCTGGGTGCGAAATGCTTTGCTAAATTTGGCAGCTGGGAAGTTAACCGAGGCTATTCTGGAGTCACTTCAGGTCGCCCCCAAAAAGCTAGCCAGCGTGAAGCCCTTTCTCCTTGACTCCTCAGAGGCGTTGCGGGCTGCCAAGATGTGAGATTTTGCAAGGCACTTTCTCCTCCCTTTGCGCAGTGCCCAGACTCCGGATCAGGCCACCGTGCCCTTCCCTTGGCACCCCTGCTCTGCCCTCCTGCAGTTCTGTGCTTCGCGTACCCCTATCTTTAAAACTCCCTTTCCTTTCAATTAAAAAAATCTGGGGCGATCACCGCCACCGCCCTCATTTTTGTGATGAACCATTGCATGAGGCCAGCAGGGAGGCTCTGATCTTCTCCCCAAAGAGCTCCTTTGAATTCCGCCCCTTACCCACCGGCTTGATTTGGAGGCTGTGCAGTTCTGGACTGGGGCCTCCATGCACAGAACCGTGTTTTGGCTTTACGGGTTAGAAAAATGTTTTGACCCTGCCTTATAAAAGCCGCGGGTGGGGTGGACCGGGGGAAAAGTCAGGGCGTGGGGGTCTTTCAAAAACCTCCTTCAACGGGCTGGACCAGTTCTCCATGGCCTGGCTTCCCACTTCGCTCAGCTGGTCCCTAAATTGGTGGGATCTTTTGCCATTAAAATAGCTTTCCCGTCGCCACGCTCCGCTTGCAATTAAAGATAGCCATTAATCTCTGCCGGGGTTCTGGAGAGGCCACCGAGAGAGCTGAGCTAATCTTCTTATGGCATTTTTGGGATTGCTGAGAGCAAGAGAAAGAAAGAGGGAGCGTTAAAAACGCAGGTGGTGCCGCCAGCAGGGGCGACCAGAAGGCCTCCCCACCCCAACTGTTTCCCCCCTCCTGTGGAGTAGCAGGGGCCAGACCTTGGCCCCTCAGAAGAGGCTGCTCCGAAGGGTGCACGTGTGCAGTTGCCCGGGGTTTGGCGATCGGTCATTTGCTAGTTCGCAAGCATTTCTTTGGCAGTGGAGCGACGCGGGAGCTGAAGGGGGTCAGTGCGACCCTTGAGTGCCCCTTAAGGCAGGAGCCCCCAAGCAGACGCGGATGGCTTCTTCCAGAATGGGGAGGCTGCCAATGGACGGTTTCTCCAACCTTCGTTCTGAAAGCCTGATTTTCTCCTCGATGCCGGGGCCAAGTTAATGGGAGTTCCCGGCTGGAGGGTGCAATTGAAATATTGCTTGAGAACGCATTACCCCCCTCAAAAAGTAGGCCAAGCGATGCGCGGCCCGCGGCCCTCCAGGCGAGAGAGCAAGGAGCCTGGTCTCCCCCTGGCCGAGGCAGCCGCCGGCCCCCGCCCCGCCTGATCTCTCCCCTTCCGCAGGACTGGAACCTGACCTGGCACACGGAGAGCCCGGATTTTACGTCCTGCTTTCAGAACACGGCCCTTGTCTGGACCCCCTGCCTTTGCCTCTGGGCGGGCTTCCCCTTCTACTTTGCCTACCTTCGCCGCCATGACCGGGGCTACATCCAAATGTCTCCTCTCAACAAAGCCAAAACGGTGAGTGGCACGTGAGCCGGGGCTGGACGGGGCTCCTTTCGTGTGCGCGCGTGTGCCCTTTGGGGCTCGGGGGCTCACAAAGATGCAGCGCAAGCGTTTGTTCAGACGTCACCAATAAACCACAAGATGGGAACCTTCCAGCCTGGGAAAGAAAGATCGGGAGCCTCGGCTCCGGCAGCGGTTGCTTCCCAGCCAAGTCTCCACTGAGCA